CCCCCCCCCCAAACGGTCGTTTGGCGTATGGCGGAGCGCAGCGGATGGGGGACTTGGAATCAGCGTTCAGTGCTCTTCAGAATGATATAAATTTCATCTAAGAGACCAGTTTGAACAATAACACTTCCCCTGTAAGTATCACTTTCATGACTGCCTTTTCGCAGTTATCCTGAAGAATTCCAATGGTTGTGATTTACCTTTCGCTCTAAATTTTGCGGGGATTCACCGCTCATTTTATATGTAGCCCTCGTTTTGAACAGTTGTGTACTATGAACCATCACAATGTGCCATGAATTTACAAAGCTGATTGCTTCGTTCTTGTCAGTACTTGTAAAGATGTACTGTACTGTAAGGCGGGTTAGGGGAGGGCAAATTCATAAACCTCGCTATAATTTGGTTTTGGTTTGTTTTTCAACATTCTGGTCATGGATATTTATTTCGTTTGGGAGGGTCTTGGTGTCTTGAATTCAGTATGGTGTCTCTTCAGTATAGCGCAAAGAGTGCAGCAGGTTTGTCAACTCCCACCGCCTTCAAGATCCTGAATTGTTTAGCAGTGATGGATGCTCTGAAGCAATATGTCTATAGACTAGTTCATTCTTTCATTTTGGGCGCGTCAGATCACGATTTGCCCGCATTTTCCATCTTTTCTCCTTTAATCTGAAGTCTCAACTTCATTATCGATGTTTGCGGGTTGCAACTTGTAGTTCTAGGAAAAAGCGTCTTTTTTATGTTTCGTTTCTTGTGCTCGTTGTAGCTCACAAATAGTCTACACTGTGCGAAAGAATGATAGTTGCAATAAACAGCATAAAATAGGCAGGATTGCAGAACTTGGTTGCTGATCCGATGCCATCTTTCTAAGCTTTGTTTGGATTTGTTCTGGGATTTTTGCTTCATTGGACTTCATTCAGTATAAATGTGGTTTGAAATGGGATTCGTATTTCATTACTTCTGTTTACATGTCTACGCGAGGACGTTCCTCAGACTGAGGACCTCAGTGCGAGGTTTTTGACTTCGATTTGATAATGCGCGTGCTTTGTGATGAGGTAGGTACGATTAAAGCCCCGCCTTGCTTACCTGAGTATCCCCGTGAGCATTGAATAGGCCGCGGCGGTTGCCAAGCTGATAGCCAATCATGCATTGTGCCACCTGCAGACTACTATTGACATGTCGACATTATAATAAGGAGCCTTTCTATTAACATTATGAACACTGGGATGAGAGCTGGCCCTGACTTCAAGCGTCAACCCTTAATTAATGCAAAACTGTGCAGAGTTTATTGTCTGCTGACTACTCTGGGCACATCCCCCTCCACTTCCTGGTAATCAGGTACGAGTAGTTTTCATTTGAGATTTTAGGTTACCATTCCGTCCGACCTGGGTGGTACGATAATTGGACGCGGTGGAGATCGCATCAATAGAATACGGGACGAAAGCGGAGCTCAAATTCAGCTGGAACCCTCTACGGGCCAAGAGGAGCGCGTGATCACCATTACTGGCACCCAAACTCAGATTCATGCTGCGCAGTATCTTCTACAGCAATGGTCAGTCTAAGGTTGTAAAAGTAGTAACTGGGAAGTCGACACGTTTTTTGAGATGTAGTCGGTAGGTCGGACAACCATTTGGTAAAGGATATGCAGCCCTTTGATTTTTTTTTAATCTCTGTTCTCCTTGGTACCAAAGTCATCGTATCAGCATATTTTTCCTCTTGCTTTAATGATTGGCGTCGTGGCATGTAGTGCATGGAATTTTATTGAATTGGCATCCATGTGAGATTGTGAAATAATTGCGCTTTGTGCGGCTTATTCTTTTCGAATATTTTTTGGTAATAATGATCCGAACACATATTCATCGACGCACCCTCTTAGATTGATACTCTGATTGGTGGATCCAAATCGTGAATAGTACTTGTACGTTCAGACTTGAAACCTTTCTGTGGATATGATTCAACTCTCAATTCTGACGCACTAATACACAAGTCATTCCCCGTCGTGTAGAAAAATCCTGCCAAAATACCTCCTTTAGAATTTTGTCTCTTTTATGATTTTATTGATCATTCTGGCAACTCTTGAATCGAGTTTCATTTTATGCGACACCAATACGCTTATCCAGTGGTGTGAGTGCGTTATCGTGGGAAAAGTTTAGGCGAAGCATCCGGAAAGATGTGATGCATTGATTTTCGTATAGAAGAAGCCGCAGTACCCAAAATCCAGGCAAAGTGCTTTTTGTGGGGTAGTCTGGATAGATAAATTTAGCTAGTTCTACCTAATGCCAGCTAGATTTTGCTTGTCCGTAGCTGGACTTGCATGTAAATGCACGAATTGGTGTTTGCAAAGTATGTGATTGTGAGACTTCTTTCCTATGCTGCACATACCTTAGACCTTTACGTAGAAGCCGAATGGAAGACAGGAGATTGTGTCGTCGCTCATTTTCTTCGCTGCAATCCCCGTCTATCCGATCGGCTTGGTTAGGGGTTTTCTGACATGTGGAAGCACTTTTATTGGTTGCACTAGCAGTAAATTTTGTTTGTTGTCCATAATCATCAGATATTCTGTAGTGGAGGTAAGTTAATTTGAGAAGTAGAATTGAGTTTTCTTTGACATATTTAGGAACCATGTGCCCTGTGAGTACCATGAAAAATATACATTTTCAGCGTCCGCCAATCAGCCGCCGGCCGCAAATATATCGAGCAACAACAAGCTGGTCACCATAGCCACCACCGTTGAAACGATGAAAGCACGAAGGCCGAAATTTTTGATAGCAAGTGAATCTTTGTCGTTGTTCGCACTTTACTTCTGTAGACTCTCATTGTAATATTTGGTCGTTAACCTTGTCTCGAAAGTTCGGTTTAGGGTTATTCTAAATTAAATGACTGTAGTATTTCCCTTATGGTTGTTCACAATTTTTTTTCTCCACAATTTTTCAACACGTATTGATGGTGTGCGGTGTAAGCGATGTTTTCAATATCCAGCTCCACGATCTCTATGGTTTTTTGCGAGTACTGCACTGCAGTGGTGTAAGCATCCCACCCCATTAAGTTACGATGTTGATGATACCGAACCGAGCATTGTTGTCATTGTGTTTGTGTTCGTAGACAATTAGCTTGGTAAGTCTTTTGAGTAATAAATTTTTTGTATCGGATCTATTTGTATACGTCATCTTACCTGCGCTGAAATCGAGAAAATTGTTGACATTTTGTTTTTTACCCTCTTCGAGAAAATTACTGTAATTACAGCATTTTGCGTTTGTAAGCAGAGAATCATTATCTCTTTTTATGTCCTATGCTAATGGTGCGAATGTTTCCAGGAAGTGAGAGAAAAATTGATTTGCGAGATCCGTATCAGGTGATATTGCTGACGTTGGTCTCTTGTTGAGAATAACACTGTTATTATCTGTTCCATGACGAAGGCGGTTGCCCAAATAGGTTGAAG